ATTGAGCAATACAACTCCAGTATCAAACGAGACTAGTGTTGTGTATTCTGGCGAATCGACGGCTATGCTTATGTCCAGAGGTTGATGGCCGATGTCAATATGATCTGCAGCTCCGAATTCGTTGTCGGTTAAAGGAATTCTCCAGACCTGTAAGTAATTGTATAAGTCATAATGTGATGTACACACTATCCAAATACCATCGGGAAAGTGTTTTGATATCAGAAACTTTACCTTGTTGTCAAATCCAGATAAGAGAATGCCAGATTCAGTAGCCGCTAATCGCTTGATTTTGGTGTTATCTTTCATCTGTAACTTGCAACTGTAACCAACCCCTTTTAACCATTTGACTATAAGACCGTCATAGCTACAAGACAGAATCGTCTTCTGGTTTGCCCCAAGAACAGCCAAAGAAGTGACGTTCTTTATATGTCCAGATAACAGCAACGGAGGCTTATCCATATCATCTGCAGAGAACAACGACATGGTACCGCCAAGAGACACTGTAATGAGATGATCGTTCTGCCAAAGACATCCCACAAGCATGTCTTCTGCTCCACCAGATTCCGTAAACGTCAATGTCTTTATTACAGAACCAACAGTTCCGTCTTCAGACACCTCCCATACCTTAGCAGACTTATCAGCAGAAACAGTGAGCACCTACAAAAACACTCATCAATGTCAGTAACATTGCAAGAATGCGCAGAGTTTGGCACACGTTGATATCCTAACATTACCCGTTTGCTGTCGGGGCTCCAGCTAACAGCGTAGATGCTGCCTTTGTGACCATCTTCTGAGGCCAGTTCTCCAATTTTATCTCCAGTCTTGCCATCGTAAATCATGCCCTTTTTATCCGAGCTTACGGTGATGAATTTACTACCATCAGGTGAATATCTGATGCAGTTGACAAAGTTGGAATGCTCCCTGTGAAATGAGAAAATCTGAGAGTCAAGAAACATCTAAAAAACAAACTGTGATTTCTGTTTATAGCTCAGCAGATCCAGAGACATATCATTGAGCAGAAATAAAACTTGCCTGTGAGAAGAGTGAAACTTAAAAGGTGGTCCATCATAAAAGTTGACTAAGAAATCTTCCCCACATGTGGCGATTCGAAAAGGTCTCGTTGGTTTAAAGGCACAACTCAGAACTCTACGAGAATGTCCATCAAAATCTCCCATTGTATTGCCAGAGTCCCATCTATATACATAATGGACACGGATGTATCAGATCACAAACGCAAATTCATCAAGCCTAGATTGTGGAATTCGTCATGGAAATGATCAAAGCTAAGACTTAACTAGTTAGCAAAATTTTCAAGGAAACGCAAAATCGCAAACAAAAGAAAGAAGTATTAATCAGCAAATCATCGTGGATTTTTTTCCTCAGGGAATCGAGTAGTGAATAAAGAAGAAGAAGTGGAGGAGAACTCACGCGAAGGCTCGAACAAGCGATTTCCCTTTACCATCGCCGGAAGCGACAATCCGAAGCCCATCGGAGGACCATTGAAGATCATCGATCCGACCAGCAAGGACCCTGAACTCGTTCTTAAGAACGAACCCGTTGTGCGTTCCCCAAACTCGAACCGTACCGGATACATCAGCGGAAGCGATCCACTCCCCGTTGGGAGAGTAGCGTGCCACGGTAGCAGCATAGCCATGTTCTCCGTAGACTTCTACGTCTTGGGGTCGCCGGAGGCTCCGAATCAAGACGGAGCGGCCATTACAGTAGAGAATGGAGTCGGATTTGGGGTCGCCGGAGATCAAAATGCCCCGGCCTCGTTCTGTGGAGGGAACGCAAGGAAACGTCTCGACGAGTTTCGCCATCTTCGAATTCCTGTGCAGAATGATAGAGAGAGAAGGAGTGTTTCATTTCTTCTTCTTCTTCTTCTTCTTCTTCAGAGGTGAGTTTAGACGGAAAATTGCCGGAAATTCAGGATTTTGAACTAGTCTTCATGAACATTGCTAATTTTAACTCAGCAGAACCAATTCCGTTTTTTCCATTTTTAGTTTTGGACTTCTCCTTCATGTTATTATTTTTTTTCCATTTTCCCATAGAAATAAAAAATGAATTTTGAGACTGGCTACTGGATAATGGATATTGTTGGGCCATAGCCCAAAGCTATTTTGTTTCTGCTGGAGCTGAATTTTATTAGTTGACAGTTGAGAGTCTTGAGACTTAAGGTTCCTGTGTGTGTATTTTTTATCCTTTAGTTTCCTTATTATGTTCCTTGGTCTTTTCAGCTAATGTACCTGTAACATAATTCTCTTAATTGTTAGAGATATTTTTCCTAGGCGTTTAATATTTTTGAGACAAGTTTCAGACGTGGAAAAATTCCAGTCACAAATTTATGAAGTCGGTTTCTTTGTCCCCGCTTGCCTCCCTCAACCATAACCGGTGCAACCATATATATATCTATGAAAATCTTTACATCACAATTGACACTAATCTTCTGATTATTTTGTAAACAGATTAATTACAGATGGTTGCTGTGAGTGAGTTATGGCTTTGCTATTCATAGGAAATTCAGTTTTCTTTTCTTTTCGGGATATTTCTTCTAATATTTGAAAATTAAAAATATAGACTTTTTTCGGCTAAAAAACAAATTTGATTTTTATTAATATCGGTAAAGCACGTGTGTGTGTTGATGATGTGTATTGATCTAGCTGCTTAATTTGAACCACGATGAACGTATCATCCAGAAGCCAATAAAGAATCTTTCTACTGCTAATGAATAAATTGTGTGCCAATACTGTATTTATAAATAAAATGTAAGTATCTCTGTTCCATAACCTATATATCGATGACCAATATTGACCACCAACATTCAAATATTTATTCGTTATACGGGGACGAGGTAGGCAACTTCGCAGGAAATGATGATACTGTGAGCGTAAAAGTTACAAATATAAAGGGCCCATGCTTTGCAAGGCAGATATCACAATTAAATGTGCTTACGTTACGTACTTGTTAACTTAACTGCATGGTCTTACCACGTTCTTTGAACATTTCTTATCCCTTGACTTGTTGTAACTTGTAATCAACATTTATCTACACACGTTTTTTGTTTCAAATAGATTGTGCTTATTGTATGTATATTCACACTATTGTAAGTAATCACAAGTTCAGGTAATCCTTTGATTTTGCCAAAATGGATCCTTATAAAACTATAAAAATATTGATTCAGCTACTTGTTGCCGGCTGACCATTTAGTTTTAGTAGTAGGGATTGGCAACTTGATTTAGAGACCCAACAAACTTTTTCATTTAATAGTAATAAATGATGTATGGATATATATGAATAGTATGTGGAAATGTTTTTGTCAGCTGTTATGTCATTAATGAGCTTTCAAAGTTGCAAAGCAGACCATCATTTTGGACTTTTTTCTCAGCTCTGTAAGTATTAATCGACACTTGAAATTAGGTCCACTGCAATTGTATAACTTTTCAACTTTTAGTTATCTCGTTAGTGGACCATAATTAAGAAAATTAGACAGGAGTGAACGAAGTATAAGTGTGTTTAATTTGTAGATGTACCCGACAAGTACAATCCCAGATCTCATCAATAAAAAGGTACGGCTAAAATAGGAAAAATGGATGAAAAAGGGGAGTAACAAGTCATTTCCTTAATCATACACCTTTTTGTTTCCGTGATCAACGTAAAGTACTATCCATCGAGTGAATAATTTAAAGCAAAAGACAATGATTATTGGTAATTACCCACCCATTAACCTTAGTAGTACCAATCAATATGCATGCGTACCTATCAAACAATTCAATTCATCAATATGGTCCACAAGACTTGAAGAGTTGGACCGCATGATGTTGTCAAGTTCAAAATTGCTTACAAAGTCCTGTGTTTTTCAACCTAAAATCCATTTTCCGAAAAGTTAGCACTGTTTGTTATTAAATCTAATCTGGTGATTCATCTGCGCATTACGTAGACATGAGTTTATTGTAAAATACACAAAAATATTTAGTTATAGTTTGACGTATTGTATTAATATATAGGATGTTTAAATCATACAATTAATTTAATCAAGTGGTGGTGATAGTGAGATTGTTTCTTTTTATTTGTGAGAATTTCCTTATTATTTTAGGTAAGGGATCAACTTTTCGTTAAAATAGAATTACAATATTTAATCCATTTGGCCATCGAAACATAATCTCTCCGTCGGCGTTCACTTAATTCAGCAGAATAACTGATCAGTTATCAGAAAAATAATCCTGTGGACACTTGAATATTATTGTCATTCAACCTCACATTTTTAAAATTGTAAGTTGGTGGTATTTAATTTATTTGTGAAACGTGGAAAAAAGTAAGCACATATAACATTTTCACTAAAAATCTACTGTATTAATGTTTTATCCGTAAATAATAGAACGACATATTTTGACCAAAAAAACACAACGAAATAATTTTTATGTAATTATCATATACTGTAATACTAAAGTATTATGTTGTTTCTTTGGTGTGGTATAAACTAAACGATCATTTTATCTCGATCATGACTCCTACATGTCCCTTGAAATCTTCCTCAGAAAAGACGTCTCCATTTGCCATTACCTTCAAATCTCCGATTAATCGATGCTTACATGCAAAAGAAAATTGATTAATGTCAACACCTTACACCCTCCAGTTATTCATTGAGGCAATTACTTAATTTCTATTACAATATTCAACAACTTCAGTTTAGGCATTAAAAATTCGAATAAGAACATGCATGTATTAATTCTCTCTTGAATTAATAGTATTTATAATCTGTAGTAGTTACAAGTGATTCACACAAGTAGAATATTTTTTCTTTCGGAACAACCACACAATTAGAGAGTATTCTACTTGGAAATTTCAAGCTAAATAGTAACAGAATTGAAAATTTTCAATAAAAATAAGCTATATGTCCTGAAATTCGGTCGACATAGTCAAAGGTTTTTGTCCATTTAGTATGAATTTTACGAAATATTAATAAAAGACCTCCTTTTATACGTGTATCTATAATCTTACCCATGGCCATGAGCACATGTCTGCAAACCCCATCATTTAAAACCCCAACGAGCAACACCCTCACCGCCTTCAAAGATCCAATCTTTTTTTTTTTTTCTTGTCAGAGAAATTAATAAAAAAAAAAAGATGGGTAACAGTTTAGGCGGCAAGAAAACGACCAAAATCATGAAAATAGACGGCGAGACTTTTAAACTGAAAACTCCGGTGACGGCGGAGGAAGTCCTGAAAGACTTTCCTCCCGGCCACGTTTTATTAGACTCCGAATCCGTCAAGCACTACGGTGCCCGAGCAAAGCCACTTGAGGTAACCTTTTAACACATTTATCAATCTCCATTTTAGTATGTTCCTATGTTTTGACGGTTACAAATTCAAAAGGAATACAAAAAAATTGAGGCATTTGATTTTTGTTGACGGCAGGCGAAGCAGAGGTTAGAAGCGAACCGGCTCTACTTTGTGGTGGACGAGCCGGTGAAGGAGTGTCCACCAAGAAGGGTAAGATCGGGAATTCAGATGAGTGCAAAGGAGAGGCTTGAGAACCTCATGCTTGCTCGGAGATCGTCCTCCGATCTATCCATACTAAAACCTGCAGGAGGATGGACGACGGAGGAGAAAGAAGGAGGAGCCGTGAGGGTGAAGCTGAGGATTCCCAAGGCGGAGCTTCAAAGACTCATTAAGGAAGGAGCCACCGAGGCAGAGGCCACTCAGAAGATCGCTGCTCTCTTTATGGACAAACAGAGGCACGAGGAAGCGCGTCGAAACACGCTCCGACTTGGTGGTCATGGAGGAGACGAGCTCGCTGCCACCACCGCCAAACCCTCAGCCGCCGCCACGAAAGGAGTCAAATCCCGTCTGGTGAGTAAAGTTTTCTCTGTTTTTGTTTGTTTTTTTTTTGTGTGTAGTAAAATAGGCAAATACAATTATTAAATCGTCACTATTAGGGAATGGCATAAAGTTTTGAATTCAATAATATGATATGTTGAAAACAATTGACTCTTTATTGGAAAAATTGGAGCAGATAGAGATATCATTGCTGGGGTCAAATTTTGCATGCTGCTTTTTACGCTTTTACACTTTTACACTCTTTTGCATGTTTAAACATAAAGATTTTATATTATTTCCAAAAAAAAAACATCGCTTGATATTCTTGAGATAACAACGTTGAAATTTTGATATGCAGAAACGAGTGAGTTTCATGGCTGAAAGAGAAGGAGGGAGCGAGATCACCGTCGCTTGAAGTGGAACCAAAATATATGTGTATGTGTATACATCACTTCCCAACGTTTCTGCATTTCTTTGTACATAAAAACGCAGAGAGTTTGAGAGAGAGTTATTGTGTATATTCATCCATGTTTCCACTCGCTATGTAGCCAGAGTTTAGTTTATTTTCTACAGAATAAAGAACGGTTATTTGTAGTCAGATTCATCAATGTCTCTCTTCTCCTTTATCTCACCTTATTGATTCTCTGTTTCCCGGGGAAGGAAAAAGTAAAGATACGAGGAAGATAGATGATGCTCTGTTTCTCTAACTTCTACGCTCGTTTTGTCCTTCTTCCGACCTTTAGAGCCAACTCTGTATCGATCTTCAGAGATATGTCCAATGCTTTAACCGAATGTGTCAGAGCTCCACTGCATTAATACATATATCTTTCAGTTTTCATTTGACGAAAAAACAAGAACTTGTTGTATAAAAACAGTTTTGGAAGAAACCTGCTAATGAATGTAACTCCACTCTGTCCGATCTTGTGTACTGTCTCAATTGTAACATTGCCCGAAGCCTGCATCATGAAATTAGTGTCTTCCATTAGAGAGTTTCACTGAAGAAAAATCTCATCTTTCTTCTATCTAACACACACACACACACACGCACCTCTGTCTCGAATCTCCCGTTTATTAGCTCTACAGCATCTTTAAGCATCGTGACATCAACGTCTCCATTCTCTAACGGTACAACCATATTGTCCAGCATTATTCTAGTCAACCGAGTCTTGGATCCACTAACATACTCCAACACTTCCTTCACTTCCTCAAGCGTCCGCGTCTCCACCTTCAAGAAGAGATAGATAGTGATTAGAACTTGTTAAGTTGCAGCCGCTAAGGATTTAGAAAGCTTTAGATTTTACCTCCACATCCATCTCGAGACCCTTTTGCTTTAGATATTCGTCTACAGATTTAATGGCATCTACAATACCCCCTGCAGCTGAAATGTGGTTATCTTTTATCATCACCATGTCAAATAATCCCATCCTGTGATTCTTCCCTCCACCAATCACCACCTTAAGTAAGAAAACTTCAGGTGCATCAAGATATTATAATCTCAGAATCTTGAAGAAGAGATTAAAAAAATTGTGGCAAATGTATCCATTTAAAAGGAAGTGCGAGGAAGAAATGGAGAACGAACCGCCCATTTGTCTACCAACCGCAAACCAGGAGCAGTTTTTCTTGTCTCCAGTATACATGCAGGGTATGCAGCATCTGCCATTAACTACACAAAACAAACTCATCAGCAAAAACCTCCATTGAGAAAAAACAAAGAGAATCACGAACCTCCATTGAATTTACAAAGAAACAAAAAACACTATATAACCAATTAGATGAACACGATTCACTACTAATGTTGAGAACTAAACTGCGCTATTAAAACCAAAGAACGAACGGATATCGACGAATTACCATAAACCATTCAGTAAGCCAATAAACGTTTACATTCAGATATGTGAGATTTTGATCATCACTAAGTTTATGTGAATGTATCCACACCAATCACTTGACAATGCTTGAGAAACTATAGCGGTTAAAAAGAAAACCTTGGTAAGGGTCGCAATTCCACTCATCCTCTGCATAAAGTTGAGCACAACTCTTTCAGCAACAACAATCTTATGTGCATTCCCTGATACTTTTCCAAATTTTAATCCTTTATGAACGTAATCTCCATCCTTTCGCATCCATTCAACCTGAGATTCAACATATTAGTAAACATCATTTAACCAAACCAAAAAACAAAAGATACAAACAAAACAAATCCCTCCAAGGATTTGCTTAATGACTACAGATTTAAAATAGAATCAAACCTTCAATGAGGGATCAACTTGTTCAAAAATCATCTCAGCAAGAGCTATTCCAGCAACAATCCCATCTTCCTTCGCCAAGAAATAAGCTTCCACTTCCATGTCAAACGGTATCGTAGCCATACACGTTACATCTCCTACACTCCAATCAATTCACCAGCTCAATTTCACAAATTGCAAATAAAAATCGCAACTTTTTGACACTTAAGAAGTGAAGAGAGAACCTGTGTCACCAGCATCTTCAGCTAAGGCTAGTTTGATAACAGCTTTCAAATCGTAAGTAGGATGTGAAGGAGGCTTTATCGCCATGGACCCGTGTGAAACTCCTCTGGCCGTTTGAGCGGCGTAAGCAGACATTTTCACGAAGCTCCTGAAACAAAGATCAACGATAACATTTAAACCAAAAAACAAAGTTCAACGACAATAGGGATTTAGTTTAGCAACTATTATAGTAATGAATCAAACCAAAAGAGAGAGAAACTGAAATTGGGTTTCCTCGGATAAACCTTTGAATTGCGTAGAATTGAGGCGACAGCAATCGAGAGACAGAGATCATTGTAGACTGACTGAAGTCTGTTTCTCGGTCCTGTTGGCAATTCTGTGAATATAATTGGTCCGAAGGGGATGATCTTTACAATTGTTGGCTGAACAAAAAACGAATTGGGCCTTTTTATCGAAACCAAGCCCATTTTAATTAGACTTCTGTTTCTTCTGTTATTTAAACAGATTGTGTTTCATCTTCTTGTTGTTTTTTTTTTCCCTACAGAATTCTCTCTTCATTTTTTTCTTTTTTTGGTCGAAAATGTTAGATCTTTTAAACCTTGTCACTTTTAGATAAATTAATTTTCTTCTATTTCATTTTCTGTTTCATTTGTTATTTTATCTTCATCTTTTGAAGGGTTGGGATCAGAATCATGACATGACATAAAAAGATCATTTATCTGAACTAACTAGTTCATGTGGTCCCACGAAACTTATAACAGAAATTAGTATTTGAGATGTTGAGATCAGAGTTTGATATCATGATTTAAAGTTCACATTAGCAAAAACTTGTTAAAAAACTAGAAACATATTTTCATTACTAAAAACAGGTGATGATATATAAAACATTAATGTTTTACAGTTTCCAAGCATTTGTTAATACTTTAATTCTTAAACTGTGTGAATGTTTTTTAAAAAACTTCCAAGAACATTTAAATTTCCAGTCTGTTTAAACTAAATGATATTTCAATTTAAAAACGTGAGGAACAGTGTCGACCAACGATTTTAGGCATTCAAAAAGCATTTATAATAAAATGAGTTTGTCAACTCATGAAGTAAAATTGCTAACACATATGATAATGTTAAACAAAGCAAATCCACTCAAGTATCTGTCAACTCAAACGTACTAAACAAAAAAAATAGAATGCTACTTAAATAGTACTTGCTAAATAGAAATGAAAAGAGTTATTGAAGCAATTAACTGGTCAAAATCCGATAAATATCTAATTCTCCTTTGAAAGTCTAAGGTAGACCAATCTCTTGCAAAAGTAAACAAAAAACAGTTAGAGCAGTCTTGGCCATTTGCCTAAATCTTTTTTTTTGGTCGAGAACATGTTTTTTTTTTCGGCCTGAAGTAATTTTTTCAACCCAAAAAAAAACAATTCTTATTAATGATTCGATTTTTTAATCTATTTCCCGTTAAGTATTTCATGTACTACTGTACTATTCCACATATCTCAACTGCATTTTCTTTTAGATTGACTGCTAGTAAATTCCTATTTTAAAATATATCCCAAAATTATGAAAACGAGAGAAACAAAATGGTGGCGACCAAAAAAAAAAAAAACCATTTACGCTATTCTAGGTATATGTGTATATTATTGTGTGCGTGAATTTTAATAAAATAAATAAATTGTTCTACATAGGCTGCTAAAGTTAAGAAGACACACAACAAAGTTCAACATGAAACGTACATAAAACAACTAATAAGTAACAAGTAAGGAATTAGTCAAAGACTTGAACATTAGAAGAACCAACCTATCTACTTCGTTTGATTTGAAAATTCCACTATAAATATCAGACAGCATTCAAATCAAACCATTATCTCTCCCTCTCCATATATCTTATCTATAAAGGCTTCCATCAAAGCTTTCTTCTCTCATTTTCAGAATTTCCCTTTTAAAGCTAATTCAAGCTTCATTGTAATCAACCGCTAACGCAACTTAGCTTTGATCTCCCCCCCCACGGTACTATATACATCTGACCCACAAGTCCGAGGTTTTGTATCATCTCATGAGGATCATGTGGAAGTTCATTATAGTGATGTATTTTATAGCATTGGTCGGATCAAGAGGAACCTCGGCGGCGAGGCTGGCGATATGGAGGATGAACAAAGAAGCTATCGGAAGAGAGTTTTCCTTGCAGAACAAGCTCCAACGAGGTCCAGTTCCTCCTTCACAACCTTCTCAATGCCACCATAGACTAAGCCCTCTTTCTCATTCGGATGGTTATTCTTCTCAAAGTTATGTTGCTTGCCCTTGATCATGCCACCTTCATTGGCCATGATCGACCATATTTTTATTCTTTCTTTTTTTCATATGTATGTATCCGTATAGTTGTTTGATCCGACTCATTCAAAATCGAAAGAGTCGTACGTAAAGTATGTTTTGGACATAAATTGAAACCATTTTTGTGTTATAGAATTGGTAACTTGATCATTGATTAACTACCTCGTAGAATAACTTGACATTGAAAATATGAAGAAAACAAAATACTTATAGAAACACTTTGAATAATAATTTGAGGACCTATATATAGATATATTTCATTTCCTTCGCGAATGAAATAATTAGTCGTTATATGATAAAGCGACATGCTATGTACATAGCATTAAAGAAATGTGACGAAATTGCATTAAAGAATTAGCTATGTCGTTGTTGCTAATCTGATTATCTTACTGTTTCGTTGTAGATGCGTCAATCATTATTCTTGGTCATCTAATGGAATTTTGCCATGTGAATTTAGCAACGGATATGCACATCATACCGTTTTTAAAAACAAAAATTCAACCAAGTGTGAAAACGTACGTACATGTGGTATGCACATTAGTTAAACATAAATCATAACTTTTTTCTTACGTATCCAAATACTTCTTGTAGCTGCCATGACGATCAATGTCTTCCATTTTAAAAAAATTATAGGGAGGATTGCTATTGTGACCTTTAAAATAACTGAAATTAGTATAACAACCTTACATTCTCAAAATTAACAGAATAACCTTCCTTTTTAAAAAAACCCGATTTTACTCTTAGGAAGCTTTGGTGAGAAAAAACGTATTTACAAAAATGCCATTATTAAATTATTTCCACGTCAGCCGATAAATTGGACTACCGAGAAATAAATCTATCAATATGAATGGTAGACTTATATGTTTTGGTAGATTTTAAAAAATGTCGATAGACTTAATAAAAGTTGGTAGACTTAATATTCCGAAAAATAGATTTGTTTAGATGTTGATAGACTTATAGTGATAGATTTAGTTTTCTAGAAAGGTAGATTTAAAATTCTTGATAGATATTTGAATGTGTTGGTAGACTTGTTTTGTTGTATAGTAAATTTATTTTCAAGTTGGTAGATATATTGTTGTTGAGTTGACTTCATAAGATGTGGTTGACCGAAATCGGTAGACTTATTAACTTTCATAGTAGACTTAGTAGACAAGAAAATAGACTTATTTCTAATAAAAATAAATCTACTACAAAATAAAAAGTTTTTTCGTGATAGATTTGTTGTACGCATAGTAGATGTAAATATTTGTTTTGAAAAAGTAGACTTATTTTCTTTGTGGTAGACTTATTTTCTAGGTGGTAGACTTGTTGTCTTAATGGTAGACTTAAAATTCCCTTAGCGAGTATTGATATGTGATAGACATACGAAACTATGTAATAGATATATTTGGGGATGGTAGACTTATATGTGGAAAATAGATTTATTTGATAATATAGTAGACATTTAAATCAGTAGCGAGGTTCGATGTTGGTAGACATAATGAAATGTTGATAGACATATTACAAAATTGGTAGACATATTTAATCTCATAAAGGTAGACTTATTGATTTGAAATGACGTTTTTATCCAGCAGTTATTAATGAATTTTCGGGTTCCAACCACCGCAACCAACTACTTCTAGGGTAGCCGCCGCCATTATGTTCGTCGCTGATTGTCTCTCTTTACCTGTTTTTGGGTTTCTTTCCTGTATTTGTCATTTTTCTATCATGTCTTCTTCTTGCATGGTGGATATATTTTTAGTTTGTGGGAAATGGGAATTTCAGAATAGTCGGTATGTTTTCTTGGTTGATAAGAGCAAAGGAAGTCGAGTTGTAGCTGTTGATCGGGAAATCGGGTTTGGGGATTTATTACAAATTGTTTATGAAGAATTTCGATTGGATCAGCGCCGATCTGACCTATAATTCAGCTATATGCTGTCGAAGAAATACATGCAAAAGCTACCCAAAGATACACCACCAGTATTTGTAGGAAATACTCGACAATTTGCTGGGTTTCTCCGTCACTTTGAAAACGAGACGATCCGTCTATGCATTGAGATTACTGAAAAGGCGTTGAATTAATCTAAGATAGCAAATGGTGTTGAGGTTAGCGGCAAAAGATGTAAATCATTCGTAGATGAAGAGAATGAAGACGATGAATTTGAAGAAGATGAGGAAGATAATGACGATGATGAAGAAGAAAGGTACGACAATTGCGAAGATCCGGATGGTGCGAGTTCTAGTGATGAAGACTACGATTTGTGTGGGAAGAAATCAGAAGATGAAGAAGAAGAAGAAGATATGCAAAACCTGCCACCAAAGAAACGAGGTTTCTCCAGAATAGATGATTCTGTGGAGCTTGAAATGAAGTCTGTAGAGTTAGCTGTAGGTCAATGTTATGACACAAAAGAGGAGTTCGAGACGAGATTGAAGATCTACGCGGTTGCCAATAAAATGGACTTCGACGTGGGACACTCAACGCCCACGCTATTGACGGTTAGGTGTTGGGTCGGTGGATGTAAATGGAGTGTTCGAGCTTTGACGGTTGGAGATGGAAGACAGTTCTATGTCAAAACATACTACGGTTTGCACACCTGTTCTATCACGATGCGTTCTTCACGTGCCCGACAAGCAACTCCTGAGATATTAGGACGGCTTTATAAGGATTTTGTAGGTGGAGTAGGTAATACAGTTACCCCAAATCACGTTTCTGATGCGCTAACCAAACGATATGGAATCAAGGTAAGGGTTACATATTGTAAGCTTAGTTTGGTAGATTTGATGTGTAGTTAGGTAGATTTATTTAACATATGGTAGATTTGTTTCCAATAGTTAGGTAGATTTGTTTTCAATAGTTAGGTAGATTTGTTTCCAATAGTTTGGTAGATTTTTTTCTTGGTAGATTTGTTATTAATAGTTAGGTAGATTTGTAGCCAGTGGTTTGGTAGATAGACTAATCGTGTATGATGTATAGGTGGAGTATTGGAAAGCTTATCGTGTATTGAAGTATGCACGCGAACTAGCGACTGGGAGTTCAGAGGACAGTTACGAGGACCTTCCATCCTACTTATACATGATTAGACGAGCTAATCCAGGAACACTCATCAAGCTCGAAGTGGATTCGGAAGACAAGTTCAAGTTTATGTTCCATGCCTTTAGTCGAGCATTCATGGGTTTCCATTTATGCGGAAAGTAGTGGTGGTTGATGGTACCTTCTTAACAGGTAAATACAAAGGTACACTACTCATTGCCACAACGCAAGACGGAAATTTTAATATATTCCCAATTGCTTTTGGTATCGTTGATACTGAGAATGATGAATCGTGGGAATGGTTCTTTGCACAACTACATCGAGTTATACCTGATGATGAAGGACTTGCCATGATTTCAGATAGACATAGATCTATTGGGAAAGCTATAACAAAAATTTACCCTCTTGCTTCGCGTGGTATTTGCACGTATCATTTGCACAAGAATATATTGGTCAAATATAAAGGTGGGGAAGCTTTTCGCCTTGTCAAGAAAGCAGCAACAACATATAGGCTTTCAGATTTCAATGTCTTAATGGCACAGATTCAGGGGTGTAACCGAGGACTATATGACTACTTACAGTCTTTAAATAAGGTCCTTTCAAAGGTTAGAAGTTACCCAATTGTGACACTATTGGAGGAGATTAGATCGCTTTTGACTAGGTGGTTTGCCAAAAGGCGCCGAGCTGCAAATGATATGGAGACCGAGCTTACTACTGGTGTTGAGAAATTGCTACGGGTATAGTTTTGGTAGACATATTCTACAGTTTGGTAGATTTATTTGTTAATACGATAGACTTAATTACATATTTTGTGTACAGGAAAGGGTCGAAGGAGCAAAGCAACTAGCAGTGCAAGAAATCGACGACCATCTTGCACAGGTCACCGGTGTCTCATCCTTACATGTTGTCAATTTGGAAAGGAAAACATGTACTTGCCGACGGTTTGACATCGATAAAATACCGTGCGTCCATGCCCTTGCTGCAGCGGAAGCAAAAAAAATTTCCTTTATCAGTTTAGCCCACCCTTACTACCGTAGGTCATACCTTTCGTCGGCATACGCGGGGACGGTAATGCCAAGAGATGTCGCTTTACCTGTACCTGAAGAAGTGGCTAACAAAGTCTGTAAGCCTCCTTTTGTTCGTAAACCACCTGGTAGGCCAAAAAAATCACGAATGAAAAGTGCTTTAGAAATAGCAATGCAGAAGAAACGTCCAAGGAAAGAGCACAAGTGTTCCAAATGTGGCCAAGGCGGACATAATCGTGCGACATGCCAATCTTGATCGTGTGTGGTCAGTGTAATTAATGTACTTTGCACTCTTTTACTTTAATAAACCCCATATGTAATAAACATATTTATTGTAGTTGAAAGTCTTTTACTTAGCTTCTGACGAAGCCTATATTTGTGTAATGATCATGTTGAGAAACTTTAATCATGTAAGCAGTTCTATGCAACGTGATATAACCACCATATATGATACATAAGTCTACCATATAAGATACATAATGGTAAATAAGTCTACCATACATAGTACACAAGTCTACCATTAATGGTACATAAGTTTACCATTAATTGTACATAAGTCTACCATTAACTCTGGTACATAAGTCTACCATAGTGAATACATAAGTCTACCATTAATGGTACATAAGTCTACCATAGCGAATACAAAATACATATGGTACATAAGTCTACCATATATCAAAAACATAAGTCTACCATATATGGTACATAAGTTACCATACATAACCTCCCATAACTATATCTCTTCTACTTGAAGAAATATGAAATCGCAGCAAAGACAACAAGCACGGCAAGAGTCAAATACCCTCCACCCTGGTTGCCGTATAGCTCCTTCAGGCGACCCACTTCTGTTCCAAGCTGGCTTACCTTGTCCATCACTTGGCCCATGTCGTGTATCTCGCCATTGGGCGCCATCCACGTTTGCATATGTTCCAATCGAGCCTCTAAACGAGGATCAAAAGCTTGGAGTCTGGCAACCCTTTCGACCTTCTCACTCTGCACCTCAAGTTTTCCCTTCATGATGTCGCATTCTTCTGTAATAGCCTCGTCCCACCATTTCTAGATATGGGCTCGATTCTCCTACACAGAATAAAGTAAAGATATAAAGAAACAATCAACCAAAACAATCAACCAAAACAATCAACACAAAGTAGTCATCTTACCTCCTTGTACCAGTCTGGACATGTGTAGTACTTTCGTCCCGGTGTCCCCGTCCGAACACCTGATGCTTCAAGGATGGGTGCCTTTCCACAAACAAAACATCGTCGGGGAATTCCATAATTTGCTTCTGCGTAAGCCTAACTCATGTCCATTTCAAGCCCTTCCGACGAACTCTCACTGTAGCTTATCGACATTGGCGCAATTTACCAGAAATTATGGAAACAATTATATGAACAAACAAAGGAAGTTGGCAGATAAGTCTATCAAAT